TTTTTTTAAATGATTATAAGAATTGAGTTTTCGTGTGTTATATTATGAGGACTCCATTATTAAAAGAATAAACAGTCTCTTACAGTTTTTTGATACCGAACGGGCGAAGTCACGGTTGACAGCTAGAGGAATAAATCCGTGGCAAGCTTAATATCGAAAGTTACTGTCAGTATCAAACATTTTTTAGCGTTATCGCTACTAGAATGTTTTTGTCCTGTAGAGGCGGAGATATATCGTTTAACTTTCATTAAGGCAGAAATAAAACCTCTGACAAATAAAAATCATTTATTCTTATCTTATTAAAGTCGTTTAAATCAATCACAAATCCGTTTACTTCAAATCTAGATGCATATATAAACTAAATAAATTCGAATGTGAAATATTTTTCAAGTTATCTACAAAATTCGTTTGATTTAAAAACTTACGTTGATTTAACAGTTCTTTTTATGAGAAAAATTACAAACGATTTGATTCTATAAAGTTATATTAAAGCAAGATTTGTGCAACGAAGATTTAAATACAAGACTAAAAAAACATTTTAAATATAGCGTGGAAATACACCTAAAGATACCTAGATAACAATGAGTTCTATAAAAGAGACGTTTTATTAAAATTGTCAACAGCGTCACAGAGAGACAGATCTTTATACAAATATATCAAGCTTCCTAAAAGATCACCTAACATGAAGGCATTTTATACAATAAATAATAAATATATTACAAACATTAGGCCTTACCCGTTGGTCCTCGCGAGCAGGATAAGCGAAAAGACATACAAAATGCCAAGTGGTACTCGGCTTTTTAACAATGGAATATGTCGCTTTTGCCTCTCACTTAGACCAAACATTTGCAAATGTGATATTGCCTAATTAACAATTATCAGATCTATCTACGATATGAAGTAAAGTCGAGAGGTCCCATTCGTATTATTTTGGCAAATCCTTTCATATCCTTGACACTATTTGGCATTCTTTATCTTACCTGTCTTTAAAAATTATTTGAACAGTTTCACTAAATTTTAATGTTCATCCGCACTTCTACTTATTAATTTTAATCACTTCACTAGTTCATGTTATTAATCTGATTTATTCATTATTCACTGTTTAATACATCACTTTGTGTTCATATTTGACTGATGGAGCCAAGCGATTGCCTTCGTTTATTCACCTGCTTCCAGAATCGTTTGTCCATGTGTTTCTCCTGGAAGGAAAGAATGTTACACAAAATTTTCTATCGTTATGACTAACATTTAGTGTGTGCGACAGATAAAGGATGTGTTATCTTAAATGTGCTATAAAATATCCAAAATTTATGGCGGTTCAAGCCTCAGGAGTACCCTAACTCTGCAGTGAGGCAGGACATATTGGTTAGATTTCCGTAAGGCATGGTCACCATAATGCTTGAATGTAATAAATTTAAAAGATTTTTGGTTGTGTTAAAAATATTTCTGTGTAAATAGGAGAGGAATGCTAAGCAGCAAGGTGAGTGAAAAGCGCAATGGATTTTTTTTTAGAAAATATATTTCCGAATAAAATGGACAGATCAGTTCCGTAGAACAAAGTATACTAGCAAATATTGAAGCTAAACATATCAAGCAATGGACATTTATATTAGCGTTTGCGTAAATGTTAACAATTTTAAATCGATTAATTTTTTTTTCTACGACACCGACTAGTTTCAAACCCTGTGGGGGTCCTTTTTCAAGAGTACAAGGAGCAACGCGACCTATAACAAGCCTAATAACACTCGCCCCGAAGAAGGACCCCGGCAGGGTCTGTAACTGGTTGGTGGTATCACCGAGAAAAGTAGACGTGAGTAAAGCTGTTAATTATAAATCAAGAAAAACTTTTAGTTTCCAATAAATTTTAGTTAAAACACCATACAATTAGTTGTAACAATTTTCATAAATAGTATATCCGAAAGGCATTCAGGTTATCGTATCAATTTTGATTAGATTAAATTACTTTAACAATTTTTATTTAAGAATTTTTATTATTATATCAGAATCCGCAATTATATTTGAGATTTATTAATAGAAGTAACTTTAACAACATAAGAAATACTCGAAAATTCAAAAGCTTACTAAAATGTATAAACCGTACACGAGTAGTTAAGTCTAGTAAGAGTATGACCAATAAAGACATTATTGTCTTCAAAAACATTTTCTAAAGAGATTTTAAAATTCGATAGACATGGTAATCGTGCCACCTTAATTTTATTATCTAATCTACTGTTATTTATTCTAATTTAATGCCTTATCTCTGCCACGAGAAAAGCAAGGGCTAATTGCCTAAGACACTTATTTATTCCAACAACAACTAGACAGCTGAGTAACTTTAGGTACATCTAATTAAACTAAATCCCCTTTTAGTTATTACTATTACAAAGTATAGTAAGGAATTTCAGGAGAGGGATCTACTACATTGACTGTAATTGCGTCACCATAACAGCTGTCAAAAAAGGTTCATATGTCATAGCTACCGCTCAGAAGCTAATGTGTGTAGGTGAGATGTTCAGAGGGAGCCATTGACAAAGCAAATCTTGTAATAGCCGTGGTTGCTCACGGTGGTGCGCCGGGGAGAGAACGGCCGCTCGCCGCCGGGCAGGAACGGCTCGCGGCGGGGGCTATCGGATGACGCTCGGCGCCGGAGGAAACCCAATCTGTAAACAGAATTTCATTAGGGGTTGCTTCGTAATAAGTGAGTAGCTGAAACATCCCTTCTTGGTTTTTCGAATGTTATCCTTTACTTTTTTTATTTACTCTTAAAAGAAAAATGTCTTGTGATGAACTGAAACCAAGTATTAAATACTTACATCTTCCCGTTCTGGCATTGAGAGCGCGTCCGCGAACGCATCGTCTGAACTTCCGCTCGTGCCAGTTGCTCCATCTCCATAACTTTCTCGTTTTCTGGAACTGAATATTTCGACGATTATGAAAACAAAATGCATACTTATAGTTTTATCAAAATTAACTTATATGTTGGTGTCTGTACTTACGCTTCCAAGCATATACAGAACTGCGCGAAGTAGTATGCGGGGCGGTGCGGCGAAGGGGCGCGCGGCATAGCGTCACCGCGTCGGCGCTCGCCACCCGCCGCAGCAGCGACCGTTGGCATGCCACGCGAAACGACCAAGGGTCGGACACGCCAACCTGCTACAAAAACAGACAGAAGATACAAACGTAGAGAAACAGTAGATCTTCTGCTACAGGTATATTGAAAATGCTACGCTTGATACAACTTTGTAGAACTGAGTGGTAAAGATTCAGGGTTCTTGGATGTATTAATAATAGTGACTGAATAATAGCCTACTAGAGTCTTTACCTCCTGCTCTGCCAGCATGTCCTTGCCCTGGTCCAGCGCCAGCCGCATCTCGGCGCGAGGACTGAGCCGTTCCTCCGGAGACCGCGGCCTGGTCTCCGGTGGGCTCGGCTCCGGGACTGAGGGGGGCTCCGAAGCTAGCACCAAACATATGTATTATGTTTAATATAAAACATTGAAGACGACTTCTGATCCGCAATACTAATTATGTTGAGGTCAGATCATACAAATTCATCATTATAAAAGACTGACCTGGTGACAGCTGATGTAGTGGCGTGGGTGTGGGGTTGTGGATCGTAGTACGCTCGAGTGTGGAGGGCGTGCTGGCCGAGCTGGCTGAGCCCCGACGACCGCCAACAACAGCACCGGCTCGTTCCACACATTCTTTTGAAACTAAACAAAACACGAAACAAATGAATGCATCGGATTGTATTGCCGTCATTTAAAGATAAAAGACTTGTATTGTTGAAGTGTACCAGATTGTAAGGGCATCGAGGGCGCTTCGTTGGTTGGCGTCCGCTCTGGGCTCAGCTCTGACGCGGCGGCACCACCGGCCGCCCTTCCAGCATCCCGTGCGTCGCCCGCACCCCCGTCCTCTGCTGCTGGTGACATCCCAACACTAGCAGTCATCACATGTACCAACTACGATACGATATATTAAAACGCTTGGAACTGCTATCGCACATAGAGCAGATAGTGTGCGCATAAAAACATAAACTAACAAAACAAAACAGCTGCAAAGATGAAGAATAATTAAAGAGTAACATTATTTACAGATATCGATGTTTACGATTGCATTTAAACATTTAAAACAAAAGGTGAAGTGCCTGCAGACGATGATCATGCTGGACTGACGAAACAAGGTACGGGATAAGAGACAAAGCAAATTGTACTGCTTACATTTACCGTGTTTAAAATACAAAAAACATGCATATTTCATGCTTCCTTGGTTACGTTAACTCGTTCATGTTGTGATTTGTGGAGATCTCGAAAAACTTACTTAATTTATTAGTAAAATTTGATATTGAAACATGATTGTGTACTTAGTCTGTTATTGTGAAAATGTTTGAAATATCTATTAGAGCAAAAGTTACTTACAGAAATAATATCATGAAATCTAAATGCTCGTATCGATATATTAGTAATTTGTTGTGTTATAGTTATTGGTTGTTTCTTTTTGTTCGTAACTCACCTTGGCCGGAAGCAGAGGACGGCAGGCGCGGCGCGTCGCAGCAGTCGTCAGCACCGAGGCCACGCCCGCTGCCCTGCGCCAAGCGCCGCACCAGCGGACCAGTCACAACGTGAGACATAACCTAGCTACTTTCTACACCTCTAAGCGGTTTGCCAATGATGATGATGTCTCGAAACTCGATCACGAACTAACCTACACCTCTGGTTAAAGAATAGAAGCTTTCCAACATTACATCTCCTCTTAAAATTCAAACAACTAAAGCTATGATTGTGTTCCATCAAGGTACTGCCAGATTCAATTTACTAGTCAACAAATTTAGAACTGCTAACTAAGTATGTCTGTGATTGTTTCCTTTTGTGTCACAATTACTTTGGTATCCGTAAATAAGTCTAGTCCTGCAAATCACCGCAACTACGAGTTCGATATTCCAATGCAATTCTTATGCAGGAATCGTGCAACGAACATGCTTTTTTTAAGGGATTAGAACAACATGCTATGATTGTGTCCTACATTTATCTATTGAGTTTAATTCAGATAATTCACATGACGACATAGTACAGAACTGTTTTAAGACTAATTTGGTTTTAACTATCTATAGGTACTTCGTCTCGGTTAAAGTGTTCAATGATTTCAGCAATAACTCTTACAATGTTCATCAAAGATATTCACCTGGTCGTCAGAATTGGTAGGTGTGGGCTTGTTATCTTCACTCTCACTATCTGAACAGTCTTCTTCTAGTAAAGGCTCCAGTCTTCTCCTAAAAACATCCCTACGTCACACATTATCAGTTAGTTTCTTCAATTCTCTGATACATATTATTTAAAATAGCATCTACGAAAGCTAAATGATTGAAAATACACTGAAGCGAATTTGGGAGAAATGTGCAATGCATGCAAAAGTAGGATAAAAATTCAGGATACGAAATGCAAAACTCATAGATAAAGCTGCTAGAAAGCAGAATTTGTGTAGATGATAATAAAATCTCACCTGGGTAATAAGGGTCTTAAAGTTGTAGGGCCAGTTAATGTAGGTGCCATTAACAGTTCGTCCATCATCAGTTCCGTGTCGTCATCACCAGCGTATGATGATGATGACTTAGTTGATGACTGTAATGGTAATGCTTCTGTTCACACAATTTTAACACAACTATAATATAATACGCGTTTTATCAAGAGGTAACATAGAGTCAGAGAAAATAATGGAGTTCCATCTTAAGAGATAAAATCGTTTGAACATTTTAAAACGAGATGCGGAACAAAATTCAATACAACGCAGACTATAAATGTTTCTGTATGAAAAAATCGTTTAAGATACAAGGCTACTTTATTTTTATTATTATCCCTTCGTTTGCACTCACTGCTATGTTTATGTAGTTTTTTGTAGAAAAAGGCGGAGTTTGTTACAATGGACGACTGTACATGTTCTTTACCTATTCACGTAATATTTATGGAATCTTTGTAGTTAACTTCGAGTATTGTTTAATTTAATACAAATATTCTAACCGAAAGTGTTCCATGATCAGAATCTGGCAGATTGTCTGATAGATCTCCAGAGGATGGTGTCCCCCAAGCTTCTTCACCGCTCGCACCACTCCCTTCACCAGTCTCTGCGGTACCTTCTTCAGTTCCCAATGTAGACTTCCAATCACTTACTCCCAAACACCTGGGTCATCAATAATATGGTATTACACATCAGCTTAAAGGCTGGACACTACTTCTTGAGTAATCTATTTGTATAAAATATTTCGCTACCTAAAAACTATAAAATCCTTTCAATGTACGATAAAATTGATAACCTTATTTCTACTAATGGAATTAAAAATATCATAAATCGTTAAAGTAACGAACTAATAACATTCTAAAACGGAGGCTAATTTTTATTTACAGAAAAAAAAACTTTAAAAAGTCAACTAAACTTAGTAGTTTTTTTAATTATATAAATAAACTATATTTATAACTTATGATTTCCCTAAATTGCCTATGAGTTGATTCAAACTAAAATCTAACGTAAATTTAAAAAATCTATGAAAAAATGTATAATCCACATCCTAGTACTCCCTAATTCAACAGCTAAAAAACTTCAAATAATACATAACGTTCAGAAATGAATCAAATAACTCATTAAGTAATTCAAGCTAAAACACTCAAAATTAAGTTATTTTTAGATCTTCACACAACATACTTATCGGATTTTGAAATCTTGTGTCGATGTCCACCTACGATAGGAAAGTGCATGTTATATGGTTACAAAGTAAAGGTAGATTTTTTAAAAAATATTGTTAATATACAAATCATGTCAAACAGCGATTCAAACCATTTATATAATCTTTACGTTAAATTACTTTTAAATAAAAAAATGGAATACCTTTCTAAGAAAGAAGGTTGTTTATGCGCTATCGAAGTATTTGGAACACTTTCGGTGTAACTAAAAATGTTCATTTTCTCAACAACAAATGACCCAGCTCTTGCCGTCCATCCCATTATACCACCAGCGGTGCTGGTCGCTACCGTATTTGTCGCTGAAACTAAAAGTAGATAAGAGGCTAAGAACAATTTGATCCAAACACAGTCATATTAAATTGTTCGTGGAAATGCACCTGAATTGTGCAGTTTTGGCTCAGGATCTGCTGCTGTCAATCTCACGTTACCGTCATCCGTTTCATCAGACGGTAGCCTTTCGAGGCTTGACATTGTCCCATACCTACGATGAATTTAAACATTAGTAAGTTGCATTTAGTTTTAAAATTTACAAATAGAAAATAAAAACCTTTTCAATGAAACGTATGGTAGGTCTTCAGGCACATCGGGCGATTCAGGAGAATCATCTATAATACCATCCTAAAAAGAAAATCAGGCAACCGTAAGAAATTTGATTTAAAAATCTTATAAAAGTAATTGATGAAAGTAAACTAACTTACAGTCTTATTTGTTGAATTATAATCAGGTGTGGGTGGAACTATAGCAATATTAGGCACGGGTGATTCAGACTTAACTGAACAAAGGCTGGCAGGTCTCGAGTGAACATTGTTGAGGCTTACATCAGAACTTCTTTTAAAAGGTTCCACTTGCATAAGATGAGCTGCAGGATTAATCGCAGACAGACCCATCAGCATAAGTGGACCCAATTCTAATTCCTCATCTGACAAGACATCGTTCGCGTTAACATTCGCATTAAGGTCCTCAATCATATCAGTCTTTTTACTTATATCTCCATTCATTTTACTAACAGCTGCTATACCCATTCTGGGTGATCTTCTCATACCACGTTCTATTTTAAAATCATTATCATCTTCGTGTAGTGAATCATCATCTAAGAATACTGATGATGTTTTTAAACGTGTCCCAATATTTTCATGTTTTGTTATAATGTTCATTCCCAAAACTTTATTTAGTACATTTTCAGCTTTCTGTCTCGTTATTTGTTCCTTCTTTACTGATGCTGGAGAAGAATAATTCGATAAGGATGATCGAGGTTTACTTAATGTGATACTTTCGACGCATTTCACTTCATTGATATATTTCTCTTGAGCGATAACACATTGTACTTGATTAGTAATATTGGAATTAGACATTCTTAAATCATTAGAACTAGAATTGAAAACCATAGAACTACAAGTCGTATGACTAGTTGAGAGGGGACTGTTTCTACTACTAGAAGTAGGGCTAGGTGACATAATTGAATTATCCTTTCTAAGTTCCAAGCGACTTTTGGTTCGACTTCTTGTAATACCACTGTTTAAAATTGCTGAATCAGTGTTCAAGTCGTATGAAGTCGATTTTAGCATCTTCTGGCTCTGTTCTATTGAGTCAATTACTTTTAGAGCAGCTTTTGGAGCGTCTTCGGGACGTATTTTGATTGCACCTTTACGTTCTAAATGGCAGAAAAACTTTTGCTTATGATTATCACAGTTAGCACTACATGTGCTGGCAGTGCTTTTATTAGAAGCTGATGTTTGTGGTGAGGTTTCGTTTTTAGGTTTAGGCGTAATGGGTGGTTCTTTTTGTGATATTAATGGACTATTTGGTTTCGACAGACATTTTTTGTGACACTGTCTACAAACGGGTATCGTGTCGACCACTACCGGACTGGTCCGTACCGTTATCTGTAAATAAAAAAATGAAATAAAATAGTTGGCATCAGTAACTACTATTTTTCTAGAATTGGCTCACTCACTTGGCTGTCAGAATTACTACTTTTCGAAGGGCTTCTATCGTTTTCTTTCTTTTCTGGAGACGATTCTTTGGCTTCGTCATTCTTTGCTACAATATCGGCCACTTCTAGTAGATTTAGTTCCTTAGATCTCTTTCTCAATTCTTCTATACTCCACATCTATGGGAAAGAATTATGACATCATTTTTGACTTTGGACAGGTAACAAATTTTAATTCACGATTTGGTGACCTCCATATCGGGTTCTGGTGGGTCCAATTCTTCTGCTTCGGGGAGTTGTGTCATCCATCTTTGTAAATGAAGTGTAGACCCCCTACTACGGGTACTCCTAGCTCCATCGGCGGCACTACCCGGAGCACCAGTTTGAGTTTCAGCGGAACTACGACGTGTTTGCTATAAACATGTAAACATTTTCAAACATGGACATTATTTGGTTTAATTTATTTTAATAAGTGTAAAATAAATTACTTACCAATAATGTAAATTTGGGAAATTATTTAAATTTGTTTTTTTTTTAATCTGAGATTTTAATAAGTGCATAGTATAAAAAATCATTGATATTTAAAAAATGCCAACGACATTAGCTACAATATTTTAGTAATTGTTTAGTTTTTTTTTAGTTACCCTCAAGTTGAAATTTAGATAAAGTATGTATTGTTTCACGAAACCAGCTTATTTTTTTGTTATAACTACTGTATTTGATTTACATTTTATAGACTAGTTTTACTAAAAAATGTGCAAAAAAACTTATTTACAGTAAAAAAATAATACTATGCGATATAGCAATACATGCAAGTTTAGTTTTAATTCTGTATTACACTGAAAAATGGTAGATCGTTAAAAAAAATTAACACTTCATTCGAAAAAACTTGGGGACTTTTTAGAGATTGCAAAATAAAAAAAGTTTTCACCACTGACAATGTTTATTCACCGATTAGAAATATATTGATCGAAACTAAACATAAAACACCGAAATTCACCGATACTCCAAGATTTTTTAATCAGAACCCAGAATTGATTCATCAATTTTTATTTTTTTTTATTTACACACAGCCAAAAACATCGAAAGTCGATTCTAACTACGAATTTATCTTGTAAAAAAGACATACAAATGTCCCCGGATTAGGTTATGTGAACATTTCACGATTATAGCGATTTTTTAAACATTTAATGGTTTTTTTTTAATTTAATGCATATAATTAAACGAAGCATCAACTACGTTCAACACTATTTCGACTACCATTTTTCATTGTAACACATGACGATGTTTGTGAGTGCTCGTATTGAAAATAAAGAAGCGATATTGAAATAAAAATGCTTTAGTGTAATTCTAAATGGATTACATGAGATAAAATATCGCGAATTTGATCGCCAAATATCCACATGACCTGTACAGAATGGTTACACTACAACTGAAAACCCACATTCATTTATAACAATATCAATAGATTAGAAACATACTTATTTACCGCGAATTAATTTTTAAATAACATATTAAATGTTACAGAAATACATGGAATAGTGCTTGAATATGCTACAAAATACTAAAAAGGGAGGATGCATCATAAGAAAAGGACGGAAGACTTAAAAAGCGACGAATCGTAAAATTTCGTAATGAAAACGTATAAATAGCTACTAATTGGTACCCTATATTACATTTGACACAGAGAGTTTGTAAATTGTAAAACGTTGGCATACAAATTGGAATTATCAAGCAAAAGTAGCGCTTGATTTTTTATTGGTTATCAAATACATTTGAGAAGGTATCATAATGTTATGGGTCTTAAGTTCTAGGAATAATGTTTTTATTCAAAATATTCCGATCTATTTTTGAATATCATTTATGTTCGAAAATATGTCTCTCAAAATTTACTACCACAACCTTGATTCTCGTGAATGAGAATTTTTTTCAATCCAAATTTTTTTCAAGTCATGTCACAAATATTTTTGTCGTATTAGTCAGACTTTTTCAAAAGTAGGAAAGGACCTTAGTTAGGGCTACAATAAACGTTCACACAGAGGGATTAATTTTGTGAACTACCTAACTGAATTTTCTATTAAGGATCCGATGTAAGCAGGCTTCTGCCAACTCCGGATCCGACTCCGCGGATCAAAGTTCCAAATACGCCGGCGGCGTTGGTCGCTCCGGTAAAGCAACGCGCGGCAAGAGAGGATCATCGGGAAGGAAGATGCGTTCTTCGACAGCATGCTTATATGACGGGTCGACATCTAAATCAGCTAATGCTAGATCAGCTTCAAACGATTCCCATCTACAAGGAGACACTTCTGAGTAATCTTCACATCCATCGGATGTGACTTGTGCACTGGGAGAAGTAGGTCTCTCTTCGTTCTTTTCGATACTCGAAGAAGACACAAAATGAGAAGAGAAAGTTTGCGAATCAGCAGGGGAGAGATTAGCCGAAGGTGTTTCTGGAGTGGGCGCGGTCTTCCACACCGAACTTAGTGGACCTCTAACGGGTTGGGGAAGGGGAGATTCGGAGTAAGGTCGAACGTCGAAACTAACTCTAACTTCTTTTTCGGGTCGTTCTTCTACCAACATGTTAAGATGCGATCGGTACGAGCTGGCCGGTAAGAGCGCCATGCTCGAGTGACGTTGGATGCTGGATCCTGATACCTGGCGTTGTTGTGAGTCCAGGGTCGCCAGCGAGAAGGTAAGCTGAGGATCTGGTGAGTCCAGCGGAGATCCTAGCGGCGTCCCGGACATCGTGTGAGCACGATATCTGGAAGTAGAACATTTAAGTAAGTTTATGTAGTACTTTAAACAAAATATTTATAAACAAAAATCGATTTCGAAGGCTTACATTTGCCGTTGAAGTAAACTTTGCCAGACAGCTTTTAAATCTATTGATGGCGCTCGTA